AAGTAACTCTCACAGCTATCTTATTACTACTCACTGTGACATTTGTACCAGTATACATTAAACATGGTTTTAACTTCACGATTGACGCGACTCTGGATGTGGTCCGTCCTTGAACAACATCTAATGATCCACCAAGACCTGTGTTCACTGTGTTCACTGTGTTCACTGTGTTCACTGTGGTTTCTATAGGTTTTATAGTTGATAGCAACTCACAACTCACGGTTCGCGACTCATTGATGAATACCAAGCTAATTATTTCTTCAGAATAAGGGAATAAGGAGCTAACTTCACGATTGAACAGGGAATAAGGAGTTAACTTCGCGACAGAACAGGGAATAACGTGTTAACTTCACGACTGTATGTGGAATAAGGAGTTAACTTCACGATTATACGGGGAATAAGGAGTTAACTTTGTCATTAAATGGAGAATAGGGGGTTAACTTTACGATTGAACGGGGAAAAAGGAGACAACTTCACCACTGGACAGGGAATAAGGTGGTAACCTGACGAAAGAACTTGGAATAAAGGATGAACTTCGCGATTGGACAGGGAATGAGGAATTAACTTCGCGATTGAACGGGGAATAAAGTATAAACTTCACGATTGGACAGGGAATAAGGTGTTACTTCACAATTGGACAGGGAATAAGGTGTAACTTCACAATTGGACAGGGAATAAGGTGTAACTTCACAATTGGACAGGGAATAAGGTGTAACTTCACAATTGGACAGGGAATAAGGTGTAACTTCACAATTGGACAGGGAATAAGGTGTAACTTCACAATTGAACAGGGAATAAGGTGTAACTTCACAATTGAACAGGGAATAAGTAGTTAACTTTACGATGTGATTGGGAATATAGCGTTACCTTCACGACTGGACAGGGAATAAGGAGTTAACCTCACGACTGAAAAGGGAATAAGGAGTTAACTTTACGATTCTGTAGGAATAAGCAGCTAACTCACGATCGTAAGGACATACAAGGAGTTCAAGACAGAACAGGGAATAATGTGTTAACTTTACTATTGAACAGGCAAAATGGAGTTAACTTCACGATTCTGTAGGGAATAAGGAGCGAACTCACGATCGTAAGGACAAACAAGGAGTTCAAGACAGAACAGGGAATAATGTGTTAACTTTACTATTGAACAGGCAAAATGGAGTTAACTTCACGATTCTGTAGGGAATAAGGAGCGAACTCACGATCGTAAGGACATACAAGGAGTTCAAGACAGAACAGGGAATAAGAAGGTAACTTCACGATTCTGTAGGGAATAAGGAGCGAACTCACGATCGTAAGGACATACAAGGCGTTCAAGACAGAACAGGGAATAAGGAGTTAACTTCACGATTCTGTAGGGAGTAAGGAGCTAACTCACGATCGTAAGGGCATAAACGGGGTTCACTTCACCTTTCAATTACGGGAAAGGAGTAAATTATAACTACAAGTTTCACGTTTTAATAAGGAAACAAGTTAAAGGTGAATTAGCTGACTTCACTGATCCGAAGAACAGCCACATATCAACATTACTGCCTGACTTGTCATGAACATGAGGAAAACGGAACCCGTTTAAAACTGATAGAATAGGTGCGGTTCCGCAGAGTCAAATGGGCTAGCCTGTAACTCTATAGTTCCAAATGCAACTGCACTCTGTGCACATGTTATGCTATGTAAGTTTCAAAATATGTTCTAGATTCGTTCTGCATAAATATGCACCAGGTGAACTCGCGTGTAGATTCCGTTAATCCATCCCCGACTCATCCTACTTCTTGAACACCAAGTGTACAAACATACATGGTGCTCTCCACACAGGCCCCTGGTGATACTTACTCCTACCAGGGGTAAACCCATTCGGTGATCCCCCATCCTCCGGGTACCGCCGCTATGGATGCCCTCGGGGGTAACGCCGCTGTTAGTGATCCCCTGCCCGGGTCTGCTACCCCCCCCCCCCCCCCAATCCTACACACACACACACACACACACACACACACACACACACACACACACACACACACACACACACACACACACACACACGACCGCCGAGCCAACGCCTCTACCGCTGAGCCCCAGCCCCCAGGGACTGCATGAGCTGCCGTAACTATAACGAACTATCATCGGCCATACTGACTGGCTATATACACAAGTTAATGGTCGAATCGTAAAGGAATAATATTTACCTGCACTTAGCGTGGTAGAAATAGGTCTGACAGACTGGGCACTGCTTGGGAAACCCGCGCGTACGAGGCTGTTTGGTGGAGGCTAAAGGTATGCTGTGAGGTATTGACATTATCTGTGATCTCATGACGTTATCAGGGTGACCTGTTGGCTATGGGAGGGAGCGCTGATACAATCAGATGCCACTTTTCAAGGCAGACACTCACAAGGTTAGGGCTGATATGTGTGGGTAAGCGTTCAACCCCGGTGAGGTGCGAATTGACATATCACAACATTTCCAGTCTTTGGGTCTTTTTGTGTGTGTGTGTGGGGGGGGGTGGGGGGTGGGGGGGGGGGGGGGGGGGGGGGGTGGGGGGGGGTGTGGGGGGGGGTGGGGGGGGTGGGGGGGGGGTGTGTGTCTGTCTGTGCGTTCTAGAAACATAATATGTTTGCATTTACGGGGGATGGGGTGGGGTGTAAACCAGAAGATAAATTATTTGCTTTCCAATTTTTCCGGGATCAATTGTTTTCCTCAAACCCAGACAATATAATATTACCACTTTATCGTCATTATAATTTTTATTATAATTAATAGTGTCAATAATTTAGTTTTTGTTGTTATTAATGTTTTATTACGTTTGTCGGGAGATATTAATTGTTCACTCTTTTCGGACCGGAATGTGGGTGGGATATATTTATTCAGCTACCGTTTAGTCAATGCTATGGGAATTACACAAGGAGTAAATAACCAGCATTAGCTAAGTACAACAATTAAATCAATTAACAAGTGTTAGAAACTTTGGAGACAGGCTATTTTATGTCAAATCTACAATTTGAACGTGTTTCAATCAAAGGTGACACTGACATGTGTCATAGCCATGTGGGCGAATCACAGTGCTGATGAACAATACAGAATGGTGAAACAATAAAAAGGACGAGAAATGAGTGAGTGTGGGCGAGTTGGGTTTAACGCCGCTTTGAACAGTATTCCGCTATTATCACGGCATGCCAGCTTGATGTGGGAGGAAAGTGATGCAGGTCTTAGACGTTTACCACTTTGGTGAAACCCACGAGCATGGGTATGTTAATGACAGCCCTAGAAACATAAGCAGGGCGATCCGGGATTCGAACCCGCGATCATAGGTTTCTGGCGTGCCCAAGGGACACAAATCTGCACAGAGATTTTCGGGCCTCACACGACTGGGCCACCGTGCCTCCCTTTGGCTGTGCTAGGCGACACGAGACAATAGCAGAAAGACTTATACTGACGCAGTTGTGCTATATATTAGTGGCGTTGCGGCATACAGATATATAGGGGCGGTCGGGTAGCCCAGTGGTTAAAGCGTTCGCTCGTCAGGCCGAAAACCCAGGTTCGATTCCCGACATGGGTACAATGTGTGAAGCCCATTGCTGATGTCCCCCGACGTGATATTGCTGGAATATTGATAAAAGCGGGGTAAAACCAAACTCACTCACCCACTCTAACTCACTCACTTACTCACCCATCAGATAAAGCTTCCTCTTTCTAAGTGCTGCAGCTGTTCACTTGATCAGTGTTTACATGCATTCAGATCGTGATATTGCTGGAATATTGCTAAAAGTGGCGTAAAACCATACTCACTCACTCACTCACTCACTCACTCACTCACTCACTCACTCGCTCACTCACTACAGATATATAGTTCACCCGTCAGTTTTACTTGTGACAGATTTAACCACAAAGAACAGGACGGTCAAGTAGGGGCCAAAAGCAGGGTCACGTCATAGTTGATAAAAATGCACTTCAGTACATCGTAGGGTATTAGTGGGGTGGCTTTGTTTAAGGTTAGACCACGATACATAACCTCCACCTTATCAACGACGGAGAGTCCCACACAGCCTACGACCTGTTTTATGACGGTGAATCTATTGATAACACAATATATCCTCCTCGCTGAATGAGCGTCAAAACATACTTTATGCTGCAGTAAATAGTACTAAACTATGACTCTCGAAGTGCTCTCTCTCTCTCGCTCGCTCTCTCTCTCTCTCTCTCTCTCTCTCTCTCTCTCTCTTGTTCGAAGTCTGTACTGAATGGTAAGTATCCCAATTGCGTGGATCGATGCTCATGATGTCAATCACTGGATTATTTACATACCGACGTCATATAGCTGGAATATTGCTGAGTGGGCGTAAATCCACATGAAACAAACAAAGAAACGTCCTTTCAGACATGTACTCTCTCCTCTCCCCCCCTCTCTCTCTCTCTCTCTCTCTCCCTGTCTCTCTCTCTCTCTTTCTCTCGTAGATAGCGGACATAAATCACATGTTGCAATGTATATAAACCTTATCAGTTAATCAGTTATCTGGGATCATTTCAACCTTCTTTCCCCCCTTACATGTGCAGCATATCGTATATGCAATAGTTCAACTGTCATGTTAGACGTCATTAATCACAGAAATAAGACATGACTTGTAAGTTATCGAGTATTGGACTAGCAGATTCCGACCCCAGCTTGTTACGTCACCCGATCAATGTTGACAAAGGCTGGTGTTCCATTTATTTACGCATGCCTATCAAACCCAACTGTGGGTCCGACACTACTATCGGGAAAGTTATCAAGGGACGCCGTACATGGTACCCACGTTGGGAATTGAACTCGTGCATTGTTGGAGAAGAGTGGGCACATGAACCGCATACCTACCACACCCTAACCCCCCCCCCCCCCCCCGAACCTAAAAGATATATATCGCTGTAAAAACCTTACAACCTTGCTCTAATTTACATGGTAGATTATGTTTGAGTCTAGAGATTGTTAGGTCAGTGTACAGTAGAGTAGTACGCCAAACTATGATACACTTACCAGCAGTTGCCATCAGGTAGATTGGTGTTGACGTCCACTTTTCTTCTGGAACAATGTCTTTAGCTTTGGTCACAATTGTAGACAGATATTTAGTTAAGCCCTCTCTGTGTGTGGCATAACGGCCTATTCCAGGGGTGAACTTGTGTCCATATCGTAAATCCATGGAGGGAATATCTGTCACTACTCTTGTGTTTTGCCATTCATACACCTTAATTTTAGTGCCACTGCTACCTGCGTCCAACATCACCCCAAACTGTGTCTCTCCCTCCGAATTAACACAGGTGACAATTGAGTACAGGTACACCGCAAAGGTCAACACGATTGTATAGAACTTGGTCATAACTGAAACCCTCTTGGTTAGATTATATAAAAAATATATATATAAGCTACTGTTCTGTGACTTGACTTAATGTTACTCGACAACAAGCACCATCCATATCATCCAGCTTGAGGGCGGTTCTATACGCCTACAGCACCAGAGGGCACAGTTGTCCGGTCAGTGAGTGACTGACTTGGCCCAGACATAAACACGTAGCAGAGCCCACCGGAGTATATGGGCCACGCTGCCGATAGGTGTCATCACACCTGTTGCCGTCACAGCAGACGATACCTACCAGCAGAACACTTTTGCCAAAGCAGACGACACACTGTAACGTGTTTTTGTATTTTACCCACTGTGGTCACAGCTTCATAATGTGATCCATGAACACCCACTTTACTATTTCAGTGCAGTCCTTTAAAGATCGAGACGTATCGTGGATGATCCAGGCTTAGCTGCACAACGAATTCAAAATGTCCAGGTAAAACATACAGCCACTTCCGTGTTGCAGAGGGCACAGCCTATCAGTAGGTTGTGGACTGTTCCCAGTTCGTCTCGTCTTCAGAGTCGTCGGTAACAGCTGAAAAACGAACAAGATGGAAATGATGATCCCCGTTCATTGAGAACTAAATATAAATTCCCGTATCCCCATGAAAAAAATGGTCAAACATTTTCCCGCTAAGTTATTACATAACCCGCGCGAGGCAATACCTACAAATGGTTCAAACGTTCTCTCAAGACAGAATCCTTGCGAGGGAAACGAGGGGAGACGGTGGTGTTATTGCCGCCGCAGGGAGGAGAGTATTCAGATACGGGGGACCATCTCGGGCGATGGAGGGACGCTCCGATACCACATTCACTTGGCCGCTAAACTAACGCCACACCGCCCCGCGATCTGCCGCCTGCCATCACCCCCTCGACAGTCAGTGTGCGAGCGTTATTACTCGGCTCTTACAGCCGATAGCACTGGCAATGGCCTAGTCCCAATAGACAAGCTATGCCCAGTGTGGGTAATTGTATTATCTATAAATCCTATGGTTTTCAAATCAAATCCGGAATAATGACGGAATATACAGACGCTGAAAACTGGGAATTCACATTTCCCCGTGGGAACACTAGACAAACCAGTAAACCAGACTCTGTGATAGAATCTTGCAATCATGGCATTTGGTATGGGCTTGGAATGAAATGAGCTCCTTATGACAAACATGGAATCGCTTGGTAGTTGATATAAAATAAACCAGAGTATCCCCCGAGAACGCTTGCTGTCGGCTTGTTAACGCGTTATTCCCTTGCCTTTAACAACGATTATTAGGTATGACAATGTCATCAAAAATAATTAAAGCTAGGCTTGCGATTTATCAAATAAGGTCGCTGTCAAATGAGACAGCGTTAAAAGCGGATACATGTTGATCCGTGATAAGTCTACGACAACGGGAAGAATCTGTTTCAAGTATTATGCAATTATCGGAATTTTAATAGGGTTTCAGTTTTTTACAGAAATTAGCACTTGCACAAGTGTTGTGTTTTCTATTTGCAGGGAAATGTTAGTCATGCATCAAGCTCGTTAACAAATCGTTGTATCAGATTGACTATGCCAAGCGCTTGCTGAATGATGTGCTTGCTCACGCCCATTAAACGCAACATATGTTCATACGAGCAGAACAAAGTACGCTGATGTGTTTGTGTTTTGAATTATAACATTCTCTTTGATGATTGATGATTTTGTTGACCTGCGCTCTATACTAGTCATCTTGGACTTCGTTCCACGAAGCATTTTTACCGTTACGACTGACGTAACTAATATGTTAACGCAGAGATACGGTGGTTGCAATGCTACGGTCGGTTTGTGGAACAAAACCTTCAACGATATAAATATGTTTACTCGGAGTCATCTACAGGAGAATGATTTAGTCTTTAATGTCCGCACACGTGTAAATATGCACGTACATTACACGCTATCGTGTCAAATCAGCGCTCACAGCGGAAAGGTTTAGTACATTTTGGTAAAAAATAGGAGAGCGGAAAGGAAAATATGTAAGAATAAGTGTTTCTTTAAAAGTTTTAAATACCAATGTTTGAAACAAAAAGTACGTATAAACATGAGAAAATGGCGTCTTTACTCCGCAGAAAACAGCAGTGATAACAATCTAGACAACACCGTCCCTGCTGTTTGCGAGTAATCGAATGAATGCGATAGCGGAAGAGAAGGAAACCAGTCCAGAGATAGGCTGGGCCATGTGGCACCAATCACCTAATTCAGTAGTATAAATGGACAGGTGTATACATATCTGCGGATATAGGAACTGGTGATAGACTTATACTTAACCCCAGAAATAAAGTTATCTCAATTAAAAACATATATATCTACAAAATAACAAAATAAATAAAAATCCAAATGGAACCCAGAACTGCTGGGGTAATCTAGACTTGTCTAATCATTCTAGACTTGAGTTTGACCCCTTTTGTAATATATTCTCTAGCGTCTGGGAGACAGACTTGAAATGGCGACGTAAGTTTGATACCGACGACAGTCGGTGATGCTCGCCCCTTTCCGTTACTTTAATGTCGATGACTTCCGATTCTTTTTCGGTGAATACAATTTCTCAATTGCTAAAAGGGGAGTTCCCCAAGATGGTTGTTAGCGCTAACAACAAGTGACTGCGTCAATATAGACATCATATATCAAGCCAAGAAAGTCGTTTCCGGACGCCAAATGAAACACGTGTTACGGTTCTAGACCTGTCTGTTGCCGTGGACTGTAAATTAACGTTTACTTCACATAAAACCTACACCTGTGACAGTAGTGAAAATGAGACCACAGCTGTTGGTTCTGAATAAAACAAAATGACCTGTGGGTTACTGTTATATTTTGAAAATATACTGCCAGATATATTCAAATGAACATCGTGTATCCCGGATGTAACCGAAGATAAGCGAAGTTTTTCTTGTTCCCTTGCGTCACCACTCCCCCTTTCCGTAACCTGCTAGAAGACCTATTCGGCTTGTCCCGGAATAACACGAGTTGGTCACGAATGGCTTGTTCCGAGGTAAAGCTGAATATTTCTCGTCTAGATGGCCTGAAGACGCTACAACTGAGCGTTGCTTTAAACGTTCATGTACAATATGTCCATGAGTTCCATTTCGTGTCCGTATGTTATGGAAATTGATTAGCTATTGAAAACTTTAAAGGGGTACTGTTGTACGGCGCCAGGCAACAAACAAACAAACGCTTACTTGTTTATGCAAATTGTGGGAGTGACGAGTGGTACTGGTAGGTCAGGACAGGACAAGCTGATTTTCGCGAACAGCTGATGTCATCACTTATTTCTACCGAAACTTTCTTACACCTTTCACCGCTCTTTTGCCTTTTATACCAATGGATTCTGTTTCGGTGGATAATCGAGACTGGTTTTTCTCTGGCGTTGGGGTTTTATATTCACATGTGCGAGGCATCATCAACAAACATGTTTTACTGTGCAGAGTGTTCTCCCTTTGGTGTGCCAGAAATCTATGATCCCAGATTCGCTCTGATGATATTTCTAGGTTTGTGTCATGGGTTTTAACAAAGTGGTAAAAACTAGAAAATACTCGTTCGATCCCAGGACGTGTCATACCAAAAGACGTTAAAAGATGGTACTTGTTGTTACCCTGTCTGGGGCTCGGCATTAAGGGCTTGAACAAGGACTGGTCGGCTCGGAGTCAGTATACTATGTCTGAGTCAGGTATTCATGTTAAACTGCGGCATGGTATCTCAGTGGGCTAGCACTATATATCGGCATCAGTCCAGACTAGCATAAGCAGCCACACACACACTCGCTATATAAGTGCAATAATCTTGGACGCGGCGTTAAACCCCATTTCACCTCACCTCAACTCTTCAGCAACCCATGCTTGTCGTAAAAGGCGTCTATGCTTGTCGTAAGAGGCGACTAGCGGGATCGGGTGGTCAGGCTCGCTGACTTGGTTGATGCATGTCATCGTATCCCAGTTGCTTGGATTGATGCTCATGATGATAATCACTGGATTCTCTGGTCTAGCTGAAATATTGTTGAGTGTGGCTTTAAACAACAAACAAAGAAAACAAAAGTTAACAGGGATCGCGGCCAATGTTTCTGGTTTCCCCGCCGTGATACGGCATACCGCGGAAAGCGGCGTTAACCCTACTAACTCAAGCGGAGATTTCGCGCGTGGAGATCTGGGTTAGAATAGATACCAGCCTTGCATTGCCTGTCGTAAGAGGCGATAAATTAGATATTCTATCAGACTAGAGTCACAGAATTGACAAATTATGTCCCCTGGTTCAAAAAACATTAATTTGTATCAATGAGTGCATCCACTTGGACATATTTTATTTAGAGACAGGATATTTTTCGGTCACTGCTTAAAAACACGCATATTTTTTTTCTGTAAAGGGTAAATGAGGAGCCGAAAACAAACACTTTTAAAAAACCCAATCCCAGCCCCTCCTTGAATTTTAGGTGGTAGTACCTTAAATTATCTGGGTCATTGTACTACCCCAGATGCCCAGTTAACGGTAAACTCCTGCAGGATCTCCATGCTGTAATTGGCCATGAATGCATCCCGCATCATCATACAAATAATCAATACGTAACAACCGGTGATTATAGATTCAGTACCTACACACCTGTACAACGTGTTTTCAGATAGTTTTGTTTCAGGGCCTGTATGAGAGACAGAGAGGTGCTTCACATTTTTCTTGTTTGTTCATTTAATGTTGACATACAGGAATTAAAAAAACCCACTAATACTATTTTGTTGATCCCCCATTTCCATTAATTGGGACATAAATGAAAGCTGACGGTAATGTAAAGAGATGTATCCTTGCACCTCTTCTTTCATGCCATGTAAACTGTGGTATTGTGTTAATATACTCCAGTCAAATAACACCCTATACTACATGCATGTATGTATCGCGTATATTGTAGACATATGACCTTCCCAGTTTTTAAAGTAAAGACTGCTTGATATATGGCTTATTTAGTTCATTTCCCCGTAAAACCCATTATTCTTTCGTTTATTCATCATACTTCTAACCCAAAGACGGCAAGCTGCTGATTAACAAAACAGTTTATTTCAAAACGTCAGCACCAGAGAATATGTTTCGATTATTTATAAGGGCGTAAAAGGCAAAATAGTGAAAAATATACGAATGGATCACTAAAAATCTGTTGACACCAAATGTTCGTGAGAGAAAAAGCATGCCCTTCTCTACCGGTATCACCCGCCACTCACCCAATTTTCATAGATAAGTAAGTGCCGGTTTGTTGTCTAACGCTGCACCCAGCAATGCTCATGTCATATGACGGCGGTCAGTAAACAATCGTGTCTGCACCAGACAATCCTGTGATCAGTATCATGAGCGATGATCCACATCCTCGGGGCAGGACTCCCTGTTAAGGTAATAGGTCTTCAGCAACCCATGCTTGCCGTAAAAGGCGACTATGCTTGTCGTAAGAGGCGACTAACGGGATCGAGTGGTCAGGCTTGCTGACTTAGTTGATGCATGTCATCGATTCCCAGTTGCGTGGATCGATGCTGATTATGTCGATCACTGGATTGTCTGGTTCAGACTCGATTTTTTACAGACCGCCGCCATATAGCTGGAATATTGCTGAGTGCGGCGTTAAACAACAAACAAACAAACAAACATAGTTTGGGATAGCATCGCGCAGCATGCTGACAAGCACAGTGTCATATATGGTAACTTCCTCTGTGATCTTGAAACGACTCGACCAGGCCTTTGATGGTGAACTAACACAATTGCAGTTCGTCTTAATAAAGTTTTGATACTTTTGTAGTCATGTCATATGCATGCATCATGGGCCATTATCTATAGTAAGCCTTCAAACTGATTTACTGTCCAACACAAGATAAGAGTTTACAGGGTGACTGTACTTGTTATTTA